GCTAGCTGGTCACCTGCAGTCAATGCATATCAATTGAATGGAAAAAAGCACAATGCTGGCCCTTTAAGCTATTGGCAATGAGCTGGTTCTTATTTCTGTAAGAATACTCTCAACTTGTATTTAAAAAACAAAAACAAAAAACCAAAAAAAAAATAATAATAATATATGTTTTTTACTGATTTGAGAGAGAGAGGGAGGGGGAGAAACATCAATGATGAGAATCATGGATCGGCTGCCTCCTGCACGGCCCCCTACTGGGGATGGAGCCTGCAACCTGGGCCTGGGCCCTGCCCAGGAATAGAATTGGGAGCCTGTGGTACATGGGTTGGCGCTCAGCCATGGAGCCCCCAGGGCCGGGCTGGTCAGTTTGTCTCTCAGCAGCACGTGGGGCCGGGAGGTAAGTCATCAGCATGTGCGCTATGATGACAAGGTCTCTCTCAGGTTCACCTGGACGTAATGCTTCCCACACTGCCCAGTGCCTCCGAGAGGCCCCGTCCCCTAACACAAACGAAGACCTGGAGACCACTCATCAGCTCTCGTCTGTGTGACCGTCCGGACCCCATGGGCAAAGGCTCCCCCTGCGGACTCCCGCCAGCACATGCACACACCTGCCCCAGCGGCATCCTATGAGGATGTGACCGTGACTGGGAGCGCAGCCCTCTCTTCGCACAGGGGAGAATTCAGGGAACCTGGCTTTGCCAATGGCCAGGCCTACCCAGCTGGCCTGCAGGGGAGCCTCTAAAATGCAGACATGTTCCTAGCAGGTGTTGCTCAGTGGATAGAGTGTCGGCCTACGGACTGAAGGGTCCAGGGTTCAATTCCTGTCAAGAGCACATGCCAGTGGGAGTGGGTGGGCATGCAGGAGGCAGCTGATCAATGATTCCCTCTCATCGTTGATGTTTGGGTCTCTCTTCCTTCCCCTCTGAGATCAATAAAGATATATTAAGAGTAAAATAACATAAAATGCAGGATGCTTTGGAGGACTTGAGCAGGAGAGGGCCCGGACTCGGGTATGGGGCTTCACTACGCTACAGCGTGTGCACCTCCTGGCTGGGGGCTGTTTGTTTTATTTTTAACTCCGTGTGTATTTGTTAGCTCTTCGTCCAGCAGGCGCAGAGGTGGCTGTTTCCCGGCGCCTCCTGGCAGGGGCACCGGCTTGGGCAGCAGTGCATTCCTGGATCTCATCAGGCGGCTCCCGCCGGCCTCAGGGGTCCAACATGCAGCCTGCGGGCCACGCTGTGATCCCACACCGAGGGGCCATGTTGCCAGGCTCTCCGCCCCTGGGGAAGCCCAGAGCCTATTTCCGAGGGCCCTTCTCTGGGGAATTCCTGGGTCTCCTCCCTCACCGCACAGCTCATCCATGGCGCCCCGCCGCCCTCCTGCAGATCCGCGTTCTGGTCATTCCGTGGTCGGTCTTTACGCCTCAGAGCACAATGGATAATTAGCATATTCCTCTCTTATCACATAGGATAATCACTAAGGGCGAGTTAGTAGAAGATTTATAATACTAGTAAGTTTTGCAATAGTGAACCTATGAAGTCCTGTCTCAATGGTCTTTGATGTCCAGAAAGCAATTTCAGACACTACCCAGGAATGTTTGAAAAACCAAGTACTGGATAAAATTATGCTAATGACAAACGCTCTATAGAAACATATATTCTGTTTCAATAAATATAGATCATATATACATATATGCACATGTACATATATGCATACATATATTTAAAACAAAAATTCACATTTATGTATATTCTTTGAAAAGTTTAAGCGACTTGTACAGTCTATAATGTGGTAAATGGCCACGGATGATAGTTTCCTCTCTGTAGTAATGGCTTGAGTATGAAAAAGCTACCCTGAGTGGATAAAATACTCACAAATCATGTTTCAATTAACAAAAAAGGGTAAAAAATCAAGCACAGTGTATTCTCCGAGGACGACAGTCTCAAATGAGGAATGAACTGCAGCAAAACTGCCAGGACTCCCAAATATTCTAAACCAAACACAGTCTTCTTAGTATCTCGTCTGTCAGAGACAGAATTATAAGATAGAATGAAAAATATCTTATGCTAAATTAATAGCAAACATTTGGCACAGATAAAAGAGGGTGTGGATACAAGCTTACATTGATGTTATAAAAGAAGAAAGAGCTAAATCAGTGACCTCATATTCTACCTTTACTTGCTAGTGGGGGGGGGAGGGGGCGGGGCGGGGAGAGAAGCAGAATAAACCAAAATGAGTAGAAGGAGCAGAATTGGAAAAACAAAATGAGTGAAACAAAAAATAGATAGTCGGGAATATAACAAAGCTAGAGTTTAGTCTTTAAAAAATCAAGAACATTTTTAAAAGGGAAAGAATACAAATTATCAATATCAACAGGAAAATTGGTTTATCACCCCAGACTCTATAGACCTTAAGAAGATTTAAATTAATGCTATTAATAAATTTTTGATGAAGGAGATTCTTTGGGTAAATATCTTGAAAAATACAATTTATCAAAATTGACGCCAGAAGAAATAGAAAATCTAAATAGCACCATGTTAAGAAAATACCTTGAATGGTTTATAAAAGGTTCAAAAACAAAGTCCAGACACAGATGTTTCTCTTTTGAAATTTGTCAAAAACACCACCAATTGCACAAACGTTTTTAAGAAACTGCAGAGAAGAGGGAACCCTGGCCTACTCCATTTTTGGAGATTTCCCCACCCCTTCCAGCAACACCTGGGAAAGATTATCAGAACATCAGAAATCAAAATCCCTCACGTACATACACATAAATTCGAGATAAAATGTAAGCTGTTCAACCCAGTGATACACAAAATAATCCATGACCCTTATCCTAGAAAGAGAGCTTGGATGAACATTAAACAAAACCACCAATCAATGCACCTGACCATGCTAATAGAAAAAACAAAAGGCACCAGGATCTCAGCGGATGCAGGACCGCCATTCCACCAGTTTAACACATTCCTTCATAATAAAACCCTCAGCCAACCAGGGATAGAGGAGAGCTCCCTCAAAGTGACAAAGAACATTTATGAAAAAAATACCATCAACATGTCAGCCCAGACCATCCGGAGAGAGAAGCCACCACTGCACCTGGAACAGGAGAAGGTAATGAACAGATTTCTAAGCAGCCTTCCTTGCACTTTTTTTTTTTAATGAGCATTATTTTGTGACAGGAGGCAGGAAAATATAAATGTATGTTCACATTTACACGTTTTTATTTCTTTAATGACCCCAAACCCTGACCCAGTGTGAGACTGAGACTGTAGCTATGACAATCAATCCAGCAAAAGGACAAACAGACCAATGGACAGAAGAGAGCACGGACGTCCTTCAGACGGACCAGAAACCGGTTTTCAACAAATGTGTTCAGTCAATTCTGAGAGGAAAACAATGTGATGTCAGACACCTGGATTTCAAACCTCAAGTACCTCACATGCACAAAGCAACTTCCATCAGACACATCACATTGTCAAAAACAGTCCAGACACAACTGGATGTCAGCGTGCAAAGATACATGTATGATCTAATTCAGATCATGTAGGAAATTAACTCAGGACGGAACACAGACTGACAATGATGAATTCAACTACTACACTTTTAGAAGAAAACGCAGAGGAAAGTACTTGTGAGATCAGAATGCGCAAATACGGTATTTCTTCTATTTTGAAGAAAATCGTAAGACAAAAAATTAAAAAAAAAAAAGTTAGTAAACTGGACTTTGTCAGGATTAAAAAACCATTTATCACTCAAAATGCTCCCAGGAGGGAATGAGTCCGGGCAGAATGACCCGTGACGCACAGGTCAGTGGGAAAGGCAGCTGCCGGAGTGACCCACAGGAACACGCAGAGACACCAACCTCTCCAGTCACCAGGGAAGCTGGAACTTAAGCCTCAGGAAGAGAACTTTGCTCACCCATCAGAAGAATCAGCATTTAAAGGGCCAGACACACCGAGTTCTGGCAGCTGGGTGAGTGCTCCACTGAGCTCATGGCCACCACGTGAAGCAGCCTGCCACTGCCACTCAACAGTCTCCAGTCTTGTCCCACCACCAGCCCTCCCTCATGGTGCGGGGCTCGGGGGCTGGGGGGTGGGGGGACTGAGAGTTGCTCCATGCACTTCATGGTGACCGGTCACCTGTCCGGTCGTTACGACACCAAGCTCTCTCTCTATATATATCGATAGATATAGATATAGATATAGATATAGATATAGATATAGATATAGATATAGATATAGATATAGATATAGATATAGATATAGATTAGGAAAGATATGTATACATTTAAATACATTCAGCAGGCTAGCTAAGATATTCCAATTTCTTTGAAACGATATTGGTCTTCCCTTTGCAAAACAATAAAAAAAAATGCAATAGCTGTGCACCTGCAATCTTTCTATGTGGATAAATGAAAAATATAAGTTAAAATCACCCAGAACTTATTTTCATTTCGCCTTGGTAAAAAAAAAAAAATAAAAAAAAATAGATCCACAGAGAAAACTAATGGGGGCTGCAATATATTGTGATTGTGTAAGACAAAAGTCTCCGAAGATTGCAGCATTCTTTCATGTTCTCCTTATTGAATGTTTTCTCTGACAATATCAAGGTTCCTTTTGTGTGTGTGTTTTTTTCTGAATTGCTCTCTGAATAAGCACGCGATTTTACTCATTTATCTCTGTGCCTCTTCGCTGAGGTCCACAGTTGCTAAAAGACAATGGCGTGTGATCGTGTTCCCTCCATTACCTTGACAACACCGTTTGCCGGATCCTGAGCAATCTGAGCTCCTGAGTGAAGTCAATGATGGCTGTCAGTGCGGAGCGGGGTTGTTAACTATGGAGAAGCCTGTGCTGGCAGCTACAGGCTCCGTTCTCTCTCTGGAGTGACTACAGGAAAACGTCTTTGCTCAGAGTGGAATTCAGCTAGGCACTGCCATCGGGTTTCAGAATGGTGGTCCCCCAGGCCGCCCAGCCCTCCCCGGCCCCGCGGTGCCCGCCTACCTGACTTTGAGGTTGCCCTGCTGCAGCTGCCCGTCGTAGACCGCCAGGATGTCAAAGTCCTCCTCCAGCGCGAAGGCGAGGAAGGACAGCTGGATGCGGGTGCGCTCCCCGGTCAGCACGATCCAGGTGCAGTTGGCGTAGTTGGGGTACCCGTGCGGGAAGCCGGGGCTCTCGATGGTGCCGTTGGGGCCCTGGACCAAGCCTCCGCAGTTCTGGCCTGGAAATGCACACAGAAACCCGGCATCTGAGTCCGGCTGTGGTTCACCTGTGGTTTTTGTTTTTTTTTTAATTCCCACCATGTTGGCCAGATTTCAGGATGACCGTTGTGTGATCATTCAGGCGGGGCAGACGGAGGCTGGCAGTGTGAGCCTGTGGAACCGTTTGCCGCCTGCTGTTGCTGAGGTATCGTTGTTCTATGGTCCGTGCACACAATTGCACACCTGCTCTGCCCACCCGCGTGGAGTGGTGAACTCAGTGGTGTTCCCCAGGCCAAACGAGAGGGAGAATGCACAACAGGAGCGGACAGGAGGGCGCGCCCCATTCCCGAGACTCATAGTGGGCCCTCGGGGAACCGGCTCTGTCTTTCCAAACGCCGCTCCGTCCCACCAAACCGTCTGTGCAGGGACCTGGCCCGCCCGCCCACCTGCAGTCTCCCCTTGTAACTCAGCCCTCAGTTTCTGGGGTAACGAAAGTGACAGATAAAATAAACATCATAAACCTACACACATTCACACACACACACACACACACACACACACACACACACTCTCACAAACATACACACTCACACACACACTCACACTCACACACACACTCACACAAACACACACACACACACTCACACACACACACTCACACACACTCACACAAATATACACACACACACACTCACACACACACTCACACACACATACTCACACAAACATACACACTCACACACACACACACATGCACACACCACACTCTCACACACATGCATGCTAATTTGCTGCAATGGCTTCCGTCAGTGTTACATATATCATAAATAACCAGTGGTACTAACATCATAACCACCAAAGACTGGTCACCAGGAGGCTGCGTGCATGGGCCAGGTGTGTGCGGTGGGCGGGACCTGATTCTGTGTCTCTCAGTGTGGCCCAGTGTGGTCTGGGATCCGAGTATCATGCAATTCCCTGCGGGTCTGGATCTCGCACAATTTCGTGCACTGAGTCACTAGTTTTGAATAATTAAGGAAACCCATCATATACAAACTACAGGTCTGCAGCTCTGCATGCTGAAATCCCACAAAGGCAAGACATAAAACAAGACCACAGGGATGTAGTCCAGTTTCAAACAAAAGGAGTAAAGAGCAATTAAATTACCCCCACACTAAGGAGCAGCTCAGAACAATAAGGGACCACCCCACCAACGACTTCCTGTTGGCCCGGGTGGGACTTCCTGTGAGGAGAAGAGAGACGCGGGTCCCACTGAGGGCACTGTTAATGAAAAGGCGGAGGAGGCAGGAATGGCCGTGATGGGCCAGGGATCCCCTGTGAAGACCCGAGGGACAGGCAGGCTGGGGGAACTCTGGGTGGGTGACCAGGTGGAGGCTCTGAGAGAGGGACACGTGCCCCTCCCCCCGATGTCTCCCTATGTCACTGCCTGTCCCTGCACATCCTCTTTAACCAACCAGCAAGCCACTGGGCATCCTGATTCTGTGAGCCTCTCCTGCACATCAGCGGAGCCCAAGGAGGGGCCGGCGACATGGGATTTATAACTTGCTGGCCCAGTGACAGCATCCCCCCTGGGCTGGCCACCGGGCTCTAAGGTGCAGGCAGGTCCTGGGGGACTGAGCCATCGACCTGGGGAATCTCACGGTCCCTCAACCAAATGCCTGGTAGGAACCCAACTGGTGTCCTGAGCATTGCCTGTTGGAGAGTGGATGTAGGGGACCCCTCCCCTCACCCCAGAATGGAATTGAGTGCAGAACCAAAATAAGAAGTCGATGGGGGAGGGGGGCAGTGGGAGGGGCAGCTGGGTGCCAGAACTCCTACCACCAAGGAGCAGGTTAGGACAACCTCACCTTGGGGAGACCTTGGGAAATATTCCCACAGCTGCCTGCTTTGTGCTATTATTGCCTGCCTTTTAAAATAATATATTTTTATTGACTTCAGAGAGGAAAAAAGAGGGAAAGAGAGATAGAAACATCAATGATGAGAGAGAATCATGATTGACTGCCTCCTGCATGCCCCTACTGGGGATCAGGCCTGCAACCTGGGCATGTGCTCTTGATCAGAATCAACCCGGGGATCCTTCAGTCCACAAGCCAATGCTCTATCCACTGAGCCACATGAGCCAGGGCTATTCCCCGTTTATTGCTTCTCCCCCCTCCTCTGCCCAGGTACCACTTCCTGAGCATAGTCCCTTGGGACATGGGAATCTGGTCCTTGCACTGCAGGAATGTGTTCTGACCATTGCTACCTCCCAGTGTGCCTTTTGGGGCCCCACCTCGGTCAACCTGACTGATGCCCAGAGTGGAGACCGTAACTGAGACAGGATGACCATTGGAGCTGTCTGAGGAACACGCCCAAATCACCATCAACCAGAAAGATAGCCGTCGTGGGAGGGGACACAACACTGCTGCCACATCACTCCACATCTCTCTGTCTGAGTCAGAATTAAGTAGCAACCAGGTATTGTTTGCAGTGTTTTATTTTCTTTATCTTTATGTGTGCTTTTTTTTTTTAAAAAAAATTATTTTAAAAATTGCTGAATATATTGGGGAACATGTATACTAATTAAAGGGTAATATGCTAATTAGACCAGAGAGACCGGACGTCTTCCTGACACAACCATGGCTGAGAGGGCCCATCGCAGAGCCCCAGCCGGTGGACAGGGCTTCCCTGTGGGCGGGGCTCAGTGGTAGAGCCAAGGCCAGGAGATCCTGGGCTGCGAGAAGGCTCAGGCCAGGCTTAGGGGACACCCCACCAGTGCATAGATTTCGTGCACCAGGCCTCTAGTCATTTAGTAAAAACATACCGGTTTTCAGATGTCCCTTCCTCAAACACGTCTGTGCATATTGCGTTCTGTGTTGACCATCCAAAGTCAAGTTTCCTTCCATCACCATTGATGCCACCATTTACCCTCCTACAACCCCCCCCCTTCCCTCCGGTAATCACCGCAATGGTGTCTGTGTCTATGAGGTTTTCTCTGTGTGTTTCCTCCAAATCCCTTTACCTTTCACAGCCTGCCCCTCCCCCCACTTCCCTCTGACAGCTGTCCATCTGTTCTCTGATTCCATAAGTCTCTTCTATTTTGTTCATTAGTTTATTTTACTCATTAGATTCCTCATAAGGTGAAGTCACATGGTACTTGTCTCTCTCTGACTGGCTTGTCTCACTCCTCACGATGCTCTCCAGGTCCCTCCATGCCGTCTCAGAGTCAGAGACCCTTCTTTCCTACCGCCCAGTAGTGTCCCGTGGTGTGGATGTGCCACAGCTATTTTATCCCCTCGTCTGCTGACGGACACGTGTAAATAGCACTGCAGTGAACACAGGGGTGCACATATTCTTTCGAATTAGTGTTTTGTGCTTCTTTGGGATTAATAGCCAAAATGTATAAAGAACTTTTTATAAACACACACACACACACACACACACACACACACACACACACACACAGAATCCAATTAAAAATGGGCAAAGGATCTGGATGGAGATTTCTGATGGTAAGAAGCAGAGTTTTGGAGAGCCGGGATAATCGGGCGGTGGCATGTTGGTGTAGGTACCTGAGCACAAGTATCATCGAGGCTTTTATCCTCCCACTTCAAACAGGAAGTGATTGCCAAGGACATTTGACTCTTAAAGCCCATTTCACAACAGCAGCTCTCGGCGAGCTCGCGCTGTTCACAGCAAGTGCCGGGGGAGTGCGCTGAGTCCTCATAAAAAGGGTTTAACGAGAGGGATTTGTGGGCTTAAAAACCAAAGACTAATAGCAGGCCCATTTCCCACTAAATCTGAAGCCAACAATAACCCAGCCACAAGTGGATGCTAAGCTGCAGGATTCTGAGAGGTCTTTGCGGGGAAGAGCTTGCTCGATGCACCTGGCGATTCTCACGCCAGCCTGAGTCAGAGAGGGAGGACGGCGGTACATCAGAGAGAGGAGATGATACATCGGAGGAAGGAAGGGGTGTGGCCGGGAACACTCCCTGTGACACACCTTCCTGGTGAACCAGGTGACCAGACAAGGAGACCTCCTCCACAGGACCACAGGCTGACTCTGGGGGCCAATCGGTGCCACGCACTGGGCAGAATGAGTCACCTTTGGCCAGAGGGAGACTTCTCCACCGGGCCTGCTGGGAACTTGGCAAACTTCTCCCATGTACTGTGATGAGGGATTCTCAGAGTGGCCGCTCACGGCAGCCAACCAAGAAGTGAGCGGGTGTCTACTCCCAAGGTAGAGGGTCTGGGTCAGGAACGTCCCAGACGAGGCTGAAGAACAGCCCTGGAGGTTTTTGTTTTGTTTTGTTTTGTTTTGTTTTAATATATTTTATTGATTTTTTTCAGAGAGGAAGAGAGAGGGATAGAGAGTTAGAAACATTGACGAGAGAGAAACATGGATCAGCTGCCTCTTGCACACCCTGTACTGGGAATGTGCCCATAACCAAGGTACATGCCCTTGACCGGAATCAAACCCGGCACCTTTCAGTTCGCAGGCTGACACTCTATTCTCTAAGCCAAACCAGTTTTGGCTGGTCCGAGAGGTTTTATGCTACTTAATGCCATGCCTTACTACAAAGCCACAGCAACCCACAGAGTGCTCAGGAGGTGCAAACCTCGACAAGATGCAATGGAACAGAACAGAAAGGCCCAGCACCCGGCTGGTGTGGCGCAGTGGTTGAACATGGACCCACGCACCAGGAGGTCCCAATTCAATTCCAGATCGGGGTGCATGCTTGGTTGTGGGCTTGATCCCCAACAGGGAGCGTGCAGGAGGCAGCCAATCAGTCTTGATATTTCTCTCTCATCCATGTTCCCTATCTCTCTTTCCCTCTCCCTTCCTCCTCTCTAAAATCCATAGAAACATAGTGTTTAAAGAATAAAGCCCTCAGCTGAAGCCACACAGATACGCACAGCTGACGCACAGCAGTGCAGTGGGGCACTGGCAAAGGGTCTCTCACCAATGGTGCCGCCGACGAGACAGCCAGATGGGCCAGTGAGGCTGGTCCCTCCCTCACCA